TAGAAGGGCCGCTGCTAGCGTCCTACGCGCGAAGGACTGTGGGATCGCGGAGGACAGCGTGAGGGGCGAGGCGGAGCTGGTAGCTGACGGTAACCAGCGGGAGGTGGAGAGCGCAGAGGCGGTGGCAGCCTTGTCTCCAGGAGCTGTCATTGCTTGGCTGTGAGACAGTTCCCCGGGGTCGCCCCACCACGCAGGGAAACGACCTCAACCCACCCGCAGTACCCTATTTTCCCGCCCCTGTGAGGCTGCTCCGTGCCAGGGCCCTGGAAACGAGGCTACAAAGCTGCAAAGGCGGGTTGCAAAAATTCCAAGAGTTCAAGTGGAAAGCACGTTTTTGGTTGTTTGTTTTCCGTTTTTTCCGAGACGGATTCTCTTTGTAGCCTTGGCTGTCCTGGAACTCAGATCCCCTGCCTCTGTCTGCCGAGGGCTGGGATTAAAGGCTCGGGTCACCACTGTTCGGCTTTTTTTTTTTTTTTTTTTTTTTTCCAGTTACCTTGTACCTAAAGGAACATTAGGGATATTCCCAGTATGTGGAATCTGATGACCCCCATACCGAATTATTACTTCCTGGAATCTGAATAATCTCACCAGATATCTATTTGGGTTTGGGGGAGTCTTCGAGGGGTTTTCAGACAGAGACATGTGGGAAGTATCAAGGAAGGCGAGAAAATGCATAGAGAAAAAAACACAAATCCAAGAAAAGAAGACCAGAGCATTGTTTGCGGTGGTGGGGTTGATGAGCTACAGCTTCAGCTTGATTTGATGGAGAATTTTTGATGCGGAAGATTCAATCCCGAGACTTGTGCTCGCCATGCATATAGGCTTAGCTACGCCCCCAACCTTTGTTTCAGACAGGAGCTCCTATCACCCAGGTTGGCTTCGAACTGACGACTCTTCTGCTTCTACCTCCCGAGTACCGGGAATTACAAGCATGTACCATCACACGCATAATCCTCAAGTGATTAAGATGTCTACTGTTCTTCTGGGCACTAGGGATGTAGCAGAAGAAGAGAAGTGGTTTCTGAGCTTATAACGATTGTGTTCCCATGAGAAGGCACATCTAGACAAAATGTAGTGTTAAGAGAGGCAGTGATGACTGACAGGAAGAAAAGTGAAACAGGGTAAGGACAATATTGGCATGACATGGTAGATAGAGCATTGGTAATTCGGACAATGGTTAAGGCCTCAATGGTAAGGTAATCTTGAGTAGAGACTTGAATTAGTGATATATATATATATATAT